TAATTTAACGCAGCAAGCAGCCAATTTTCGAAATATGGATTTCGGCTATGCCTTAATTCGACGGAAATGGGAATTAATTTAAAGGAAACGACGTATTTATCGACGATTAATGTAAATCTTTCTTTATTCCTAGTTCTTATAACCGAAAATGCTATTTATAGCCCGCCAAACGATGGCATTCGTAACGTAATGGCCGCTTAATATTTAACGATGCATATAAATACGAAGCGCCAAGTTTTAAACGTTATTTAATAATGGCTTATTATCGTTACTGCTTTTAGAATAATGCTTACGAATACGATTAAGTATTCGTCGGTATAATGCATTCGCATTACGAACGGCCGCTGCCGCCGATAGAAACCGGCCGTTAAGAATATTATTAACGGCTATTTAAACGCAAACTTTAATAAGGCCGTTAAAATTATTAACGGCTACGTATAATTAATTATTGCGAATAATTTAAGAAAATATATTGCAATTATTGCAAATAAATAAATAAATTAATATAAAAGTTTAAAAATAACGGGTTTTAATAAAAGCGTTAATTTTAATAAAGTATATTCGAAATCGTATAATTTAATAAAAAACTTTAAATACGTTATTATTAACGATTTATAAAAAACTGCCAATCCGAAATATAATTATTAATTTCATTAATTATATACAAATCTTACGATATTTAAGAAAATCTTTTAATAATATAAAGCCAACGTTATTTTTTAAGCTATTTCATTATTTTTAAGGCCTGATTTTATCGACATTAGCGATTTTTTTAATCGAAAAACGTTTTTTTAAAGCTATTTCATTATTATTAGGGCCTAAAACAATTAATTTTTATAATAATTACGCAAATAAGTATTTATTTTTTATTCGAAGTTATCGTTTAACGTTATATTAAAATTAATCGTAAGCAGCTAAAGCCGTTATATGGCATAGCGTTTAATATTACGATTTTATATCGGGATCTTTATTTATACATTTATTGAAATTTATAATTATGATGGTATATATTCGAATTATATATAAATTATATAATGCGAGGTTATATCGTAAGCATTAATATAATTACATATCCAATATAGGACTTGGCGACCGGAGTGAGCGTTAGCGAATGGGCCGATATTAGGCGGAGTGAGTACGGGTAGTTTTAAGATTGTTGGCCAGGATTACTCCATATATCTAGGTATGTATGTATGCATGAATGGACGGTAGCCATCCCATAAACACCTGTACGCGTAGGCAGTTGGTTGGCGGTCTTGGTGGTGATACGGTATACGGTCACCTTGTAGGTACGAGTTAGTGACACCGACCTTACAAAACCAGCCCCGTATGGCACCTGGTCCTAACTAACAGCTTGAGCTGCTGAGGTGGCCCATTCTAGGCGTTTTCTAGGGGTTGGCTGGTGTAAGTGGATGCCATTGGTCATGCATCTAAGGAGGTTCCATCCTGCTTAGCGCTTGACCCATCAAACCAGCAGTCAGTCAGTCAGTGCACACACCTCCAGTCTGCCAGTGCAGTGTGCACCACGGCACGCATGCAAAGAAAGGGGATTTCTATCTGGCCTAGCTGTATCAAGTTAGTATCCTGAGCAGGTCGTCCGTTGTCTTAACCAGTGGCCTATCCCAGCCGCCCAGCCACTTGTCCCAGCCCGGGTGACGGCGTGTAACACCGCATCGATGATCTACCTATTCAGCTACTACGTACCTTAGGTGGTAGAAAACCACCAGCCCGGCCCGGGATGCACCAAGCAGGTACAAAGGAACTAGATATGTAACTAGCATTAGTTGGCGCTGGTTGGTAACTGTATGATAGGAACACACATGTATCCATGTATGTTAACCCGGTTGTTTCCAGAGGTGGCTGTCTTGTGTATTGTACGAATACTTCGGCTTCATATCAACCAGCAGCCCTAGAGCTTGCTATGAATCCTTCTTATATAGACCAACCGACCTTATATCCTTACATATAAGGTATTCTGTTAGGCCAAATCTGAAATAATATGGTGGAGTAACTAGCATTACCCGCATTCGTAATATGTCAATTACTTTTGCCGTCCTAGTCTTTTCAGCTTTGCTAGGCATCAGGGCATCCTCTGATGTCAACCTCCTTGTATCTATCTATATTGACTTGGAAAGGAAGAGAAAATTGGTATTTCCTGGGTGGTAGGATGCCCCTAAATACTACATCGTATGTATGGCAATATGAGGCAGCCATATATAGCAACGACATGTACTTTCTCCTACCATTCACGCAGACCATGAATGAGTATGGTATAAGCAGTATTCTCTTTCTAAATACTGATTGTATTTGTTTATTTGGGTGGTAAAGCAAGCAATCATAAATACACAGAAACTGAATATTCCCCGGGATATCGGCATAGACCATCGGCGCCAGTCATCCAGTATATATCAACCACATTGTAATATATGTATGAGAATGTTTATTACAGCAGTGTCCACGGACACCATGTTGAGCTAGTAGAACGAGGGTCCTGCTAGACGGTGTCATCTGGTGATATATGATGACCTGCCGTCATGATATCAGGTGATGAGCACATACATCCGCACTTATTTCAGGCCATATCTACTATTGACCAGGAAAATCCTTCTACTCTTTCTACTGGCTGTCAAGTCCGTACAGTTATGAAATCACCGAGGGTGGGTTTGTGCCTATATATGCCCAGAGCTAAGCAAACGCAAGCTAGCTTACCAAGCAGTAAATAGACAACATACCTGTGTGCTCTGAAGTGGACGAAAGTAGTGAAATTGTATGCCTCAATCCCTGGTTACCACTCTGTAGCATCGTTGGCGGGTTCCTATAGTGCATGGGGAATGATTCCAAAGCAGAGACAGGAACACCAGGACTGGATTCTGTACCTGATATCGCTGCCTCATCTCAATATAACCACCATCAGTAATTAACTGCCACTCCTTCCGGCTCAACTAACTCCTAGGTCAGGACCCCAGAACTAAGACGATATAAACCTCAATCAATAGTGCCACAATCAGCTGGCTAACGCCGAGCCGAGCCGGAGAAGCAAAAGTGGTAGCATGACTTTAATTTCTTGGCTATTTCACTTAATCATGGATCAAATCTGCAGATTCACAAAACAGACAGAAAATTTTGCCTTCCCTGGTTGTTGATAAACCCTGCGAACGTGCAAGACTGCGAGTATACTCTGGACAGGACCTCTAGTTTTGGGTATTGCATTTTCATCCGTATAGGGGCTACCTGTTCTTATTAGGAAGACCCCCTCTCGATGGTGAACAGGGTTTTAGACGTCTGCAGTCATTTGTGGTCTCGATTAGCAGACCCGTCTCAGCAAGCACCCAAGACCTGCCGAACGCTAGAAGCCAGGACGATGATAACGGCCTTGTCTTGTACACCTTGGACCTTGGACCTTGGACCTTGGACCTTGGGAAGTTTTCAGTTTCAGTCATCGTGAGAACACAGACTCCATGGCCTCTCATCTCCTGGCGTTCAAGCTCTTGTTTATAACCAGATTAAAATACACTTTCCTGCCACGCCAAGGTCCGCTGCTGCACTGGGAATGGTTGTATGAAGGGACTTACTAAAGGTTAAGTCCACCAAACTAGAAATTTGACTATAAATGTTCGAGATTAGCGTGATATGTGAAAATGATGTTGAGTTTATTTTGACCCGGAAGACCACCTTGGTAAAGTTCAACCGGGTTGCAACACCACTGACAGCCATAAACATGAGACTATGATCACCGGTCGTTGACTTATGGAAGTATTTTCTCTTTACCTCGTTGAATTTTCAAACTTGCTTCCGTGCTTTGGGCCATTATTCGAGGAGGCGAAAATGGGCCGAAAGGGGCAATACGCAGCGAAGCATCCATTATAGAAAGAAACCCAGGGCTGTATGTTGCTAGTGCGTTGTTGGGCTTTTACCTATTATTATGTAACCTGCCTTAATATACTCGATGGTTTCGGTATAAACAGATGTTGCATATGAGGCTGACTGTTTCCTGACATCTTATAAATTCTCATGCTGATCATAGCATCATACCTTGGGCCCTCCCTATGAAGCATCTAGTTAAGGGGGCCACTTGACACCTGGGTCAAAGCTAGGGTGTGCACTAGACTGCCATTATCAACGACAGTGATGAATGGGTATTGTTGATGAGATGCGTACCCATCTAACCGGGGATGAGCGAAATTGGACGAATAGTCTGATATGCATAATGTATGCTACGACTTTGTCGTAAGGGCATAATCATTTCCCTGGCACGAAGAAGTGGGATGGTAGACGGGAACATTATACATAGGTAAGTAGGCATGTAAGAGCCTGCGGCTAAGGCGACGCGATGGTCTAAGGCTTGGCCCAAGGCTTAGGAGCTTTAAAGAGCTTCGAAAGCAGTTTTCTGGTAGATGGGCCAGTACTCAGTGAAAGTAAAGCCAGTAATCTAGTAATCTTCCAAGATTTACTTATCCTCCAGGTTGCTGTTATTGTCGTTATGACGTAGGGCTAAAGCTAAGTCCGGTGTGGTATAATAGATGTAGGTATGCAGTATATAATCTGTGTTATACAGACAGTTGGCAGGTAGCACTTGCCTGTGCCCTTGCAAGGCAGACAGACACTCATACTTGTCGGGTAAATGCGCAATGCGTTTGTTCGGGACAGGTAAGTAGGTAGTCACTTCCTTGCACTTGCCTCCCGGAACGATCGGACTATTTCAACGTCAGGTCGGATGTCCTGGGCCGTACACTTATACGTGATTCACCGGCAATGTCACCTGATGAGACCCTCCCAAATCTCACAAATCCGAAGAAACCCAGTGCGGGGTTATTGATTGCAAACCTGGCAAGGGAAGGCACTGATAAGCAGGAAGATAACAGTAGGCAAGTACCTAGGTAGTTATACAACAACCTTCCAGCTGGAATGCAACATTCGGCAACGAGAAACGATCGAATCGGATGCCAGACCTAGGCCAGGCAAAAAAGAAGGGTGCAATGAGGGATTCTATCCATCATAGCTGGACTCGCGGGGAATCGAACCCCGGACCGCTCCCATATTAGCAGATGCTAAGGGAGCATTATACCACTAAACCACAAGCCCGAGACGTTGCGATGATCGTCGGATACGGACGACCACCTAACGAAAGACCCTCCTGGAACTTCGGAGGAAGTTGAAAAGTTTTTCATATGAGAGCTTATATATCGCCCAGTGGCTGTCTAGCTGGATGGCCGGATGGGGACCAGGCTCTAGTAGGTACTACCTCTAGCTTCATGTAGCTATGTAGTTGCGGGGGGCGAGACAGGGAAGAGGTCGAGAGTTTTGAGGAGCCGGTAACTCATTCGTACTACCCTCCGCATCTTGTTACTAAAGTATGCTCGGAATATAGGAGTCTCTTGCTTGGGTAGTGATATATGTACTGCAGAACCTAGGTATCTCAACCTAGGTATCTCGACAGGCATGATAAGTTCCTGTCTCTTCGTTCTTTGGAAATATTTACATGTTCTATCTACAGCAGTATAGAGTACTAGGTACTACCAGCTGGCGCTACAATACTACATAGCTACCTAGGTAGTACTACGTAGCTCGTACCCACTTCTACATGTTTTAGCATCATCATACCGTCGTTGTCTGTTTCGCTAGCAAAGATAAATGAGAGTTTTGTTACGGATATTCTGTTTTGCTCATGCCTGATGGTTTGATATACAAGATCGTAAAACCTTATAAGTAAATGCCTAATCCAACGTGTATTAGAAGCCCCGCCGGACATATGTATACCTAGGCGGCAAGGCAAGGCGGAAGACTTAGAGCCAATCAATCAATCAAGATATCGAGGCGAGATAATAGATGGAGGCAAGCAACAGAGCAATTAGATCAAATCCCTGATTTGGTACATGGACATTTCATACGTTCTGTGATCCTCGACTATCTAGGTATGCAGCTGGTGGTGAAGGACACCAGGAACTATCTGGAAGCAGTAATCGCTCGAGCTATTCACCTATTCTACATATAATTCACTAACATTGAAATCTGACTGGCTGGCAGTGGCTGACTGAGCAGAAGTTTTTGAAAGCCTGACGACGTGGGGTAGCTCACTGATGGAATTCCAGGTTCTTTGGACCTGCTTCATGTACATGTAGGCATGTATACACAGTACGCACTGGATACTTTCATATAGTTACTCCAATGTATGTAGCTACGCAGCTAAGCTGGGATCTAAAGCTAGAGATGTATGTACCTAGATGGTGGGAGAGTGCTAATGTGCCGTGTATATACATCCTAAGCGTGCCTAACATAGGTAGCTGGGTAGGAGAACCTTGGAAGCATTAGGCAAAAGTCTAGTACATACATGTAGGTACATACATCGGTACCTACATACAGCCATACAGTGGTACAGTGTATTTGCATTTTGGGTCATCATCATCATCAGCCGTGCACCTGCAAATGCACCTCCAGCACTTTCGACATTCAACCTTCCAAGGTCTTTACCATATTCCCCAAACTGCAACACATCTCTGACAACCTTACCTGCCTACAGCTCAGGCAGTCAAGGTACCGCACAGCATACACATACGCATACGCATACGCATAAGGTTTTCTCTTCTTCTCCATCCTGTTCGCAACTTTCATTCGACCAGAGGAAAGAGGAGATCTACCGTACATACATACATACGCCATACGCCATACGACATACTGCCTACTGCCTACTGCCTACTGCCTACTGCCTACTGCCTACTGCCTACTGCCTACCTAACACCTACCTACCTGCCGACCTACATACGCTAGAGCTGAGGATTCAGTTTTCAGTTTTCAGTCTTCGCCATTCTTTCAACACCAACCAGAAAGCCCAACGACCTGCACTCGTTTGGACTTTTCTACCTTCTATTCCTACCGATCTATCTGTGGCTGACTTCAAGGGCACTTCTTGTTCGCCTTTGCGATTTCTACACACTCAGCACGCATGTGAGTACAAATCCCCCATCAAGGCTACTGACTTCCTATCTTGTTGGAAGCTTCACCCTCTACCCGTTGCAACAAGCAGCAAGCCAAGCCAAGCTTCGACTCGATAGCCGGGCCAATACTTGCCACACAGATAAAGCTGTCGCGATTGCAGCTTCATATGTTTACGTGCCGTACTTATTCTTCATGAGGTCAAGGCTAACCAACCAACATCTAGAAGTCAGACGAGGCTCTATTCTGTGTCAAGGCAAACCCACCTGCCACCCCACCTCAAACTGCACATAGCTGCTACTACGAGTTTATCGCAAGCCAGACACACCCGCACACGCCTACCACGAGAGACGAGAGATAAAGGGGTGGTCCAAATTCATTTGGACGCTCCGCAGCGGCAAGTCAAGTTGTTGTCGATTACATGAACCGTTGGTAGTGGAGGGGGAGTTGATTCTTTCTAATTTGCGGCCTCTGCCGCGCCGGCCTTCGCCATGGGGAAAATAACGAAGACCATCCAACCTAAGCATAAGGAGACTTTGGTAAGTGCCCTGGATTACGAGTTCTAGGGGTGTTACAGTTCCGTCATGATGGACTCGACCGGCTAACAACCATCTTCTCCAGTCTCCATGGCTGCAGGAATATGTCGACGAGGCTTCCTCAGCACCATTACCTCTCTTACCGAAGGTCCTCGCCACCTTTCCGGCACGATGGCCCTTTCCCAGAGGCGACCTATATCACTGGATACCGTTGCTCAACAGATTCGATGATATCCTAGAGTCATTCTGCTCTAGGTATAAGTTGACGGAGGGTCCCCAGACGGAAGACTTCGGCCTTGACCTGCTGCTTGGAACACCAGCAGCTGAAGGGGATGAGCGACTAGACAAAACGGCGAAGCTCGCTGAACTGGGCTACGGTGATGACGGCGACAGCAGTTTAGTCGTATCTATCCTCAAGTTCACCCAGATGCTCCTCGACCATTGCGGTAACCGCAGCATATATGCTAGCAGTACCCATCTGAATAGTCTGCTCAACAGCACTGACTTCACTATCATCTGTGCCACGCTCCGTGTCGGCGTCGAGCTAGCTCAACGGTATCAAGCTTCGGTAAAGCGTATGGGGATGCACCCTCGACAGGTTCATAATGCTCTGTTGTCAAACCATTACAACATTGATTTGGATCGCGTTCAGCAGATGGCGCAGCCTTTCATCAAAACCCCAATCAACAAGCCATTAGCCTCGCTATCCTCATCAACGCCCAGCTCTACTAGCAAGAACAAGGACAAGGCCCATGGCGGGGTCTCGAAGAATGTGGCTACGATGTACGCCAACGATCTATGCGCTCTTACCCAAGCAGATTCCCCGGAGGCCTCGGGTTCTGATGCCCGTTGGAATGGATGGGGCGACGTGAAACTTACATATTATCCCACAACCATTACTACACAAGAGCAGGCATATCAGACGCTTCCCGAGCGAGGGGGTGCCTCATCCATTCCCGCAACACCTACACCCTTAAGACGGAGTAGCACAAATACCGCTGCACAAACTACACCCCGCACGAGCCGCCAGGGCCCGCCAGACGATAGTCCGACACCCACTTCTCGTACCCCAGCACTTGAGCATGATGACAGTAGCCCGCCCGGCCAAAAGACCTGGGAGATCTCACAGTCTGCAGTTGCCTCTACCCCTATATATCAACTTCTAGAGCGGATACCTGCGGATGTCCCTAAAGAGACGAGATACGAGGTAGTAAATCGACTGCGAGTCGCCAAAGCACTCACCGGGTCGGTTGAGTCCAGACAGCAAGCATTGAAGGCGCGTCTTCTAGCTATTCAGAACTTGGCGTATATCCACGGTGAGAAGACCTTTATCGAGGAGGTCCTTCGTCATGACCACGACGAGCCGCGTCGGTTTCAGCTGGTATACCAGCTTGCTGAGTTGATCCACCCGGGAACAGATGGCACGAATGTAGTGCCTATTGATTTGCAAGCAATCGCATTATCTTTGCTCGAGGCTATTGCTAATTTTAACCCAAAATTACCCGACATATTCTCTGCCTTGAATGCAACTGTCAACCACGGGGTGCTCCTTTACGTCATACGAAAAGCCGTGGCGAAGATGAGGGAGGAGGATGATGGAGATCAATGGACCGAGGAAGATGAGTGGCGTGATAATCTCTTCTCTCTTACCCTTCATATCACGATGGCAATGAGCAATGGTTCCCGCGGTACGCCCGAAATTATCTCGGCCGGGCTACTGGATATTATGGTCGAAATCCTCACAATCAGGTCCAGCATAGCCGAGCGCACGTATGGCACACTTGTGGGATTCTTGGACAACCTTGTTTACAACGTGCAGAGTTCGTTGCAGACTTTGGTCAGCGCCGATGGGCTGGAGGTTGTCACCAACCTTGTTACTCACGAGGTTGAGCTTGCCAAGAGGCTTGCCATTGAGGGAAAAGGGACGCCCGTGGGACATCGTTCTCAAGTCGTAGACTACGAGGTACCCTTTTATCAACAGCAAAACCTTAAGTTTCTCCTCAAGTTTATCCATCACATGATGTCCAACTCATTTGCCTTCGGCGGCAATACAGACCGATTGTTGAGAAACCTGGTTGATAAGACCGCCCTTCTTGGGAGCATTCGCGATATCATTGAGAACAAATCCCAATTTGGCTCCTTAGTATGGACGAACTCTGTCACTATTCTCAGTGACTTCCTCAACAATGACCCAACGAGCTTTGCGGCAATCTCCGAAGCTGGTCTTGTAAAGAGCTTTCTTGAGGCCGTCACCGGTCAACCTGTGATCGCGCGACAGCCCGAGACCACCGAAGAAGAAGCTGGCTCCCCCGAGAATCCCGCCCCGGATGTTTCAGAGCACGATACACGGCCACATCCTCCGCCGCCAGAGCTGCTCAATGCGCCTCGAGATGGACCTCCAGCCCGTGGTATCCTTCCTTCCAGTGACGCAATCTCGATTGTCCCAACTGTGCTCGACGCCATATCGCTGAATAACCTCGGCATGAAAATGGTCGTGTCCTCTCATGCCTTCGATAGCTATTTTGAGATTTTCGAGAGCCCCGAGCACGTTAGGCTTATGGCAACGGATATCGAACTTCCCAGCACCATAGGCACGCATTTCGACGAGCTCGCACG